GTGGGATGGAAAATTTTCGAATTACCCCCAGAAATTACTGACATATTTTAGCGATGCGTAATGTTCTTTTAATAACCAGAAGAGATACAATTTAATGTCATGTTAATATTTTTTTTCTTTAAACAACTTGCGTCGTACTTATTCGTCAGTTTTACTTGAAAATATTGTAATTTGAATTCTTCGTTCCGTTGTGGGCTGTAATAGTTATGTTTATATGACATTATTTTTTATAACTCCACTTTAACGGATATGGGCGCTCTTTTAAATATCTCTGCATCTTAACGGGTTCTGTTTATTTATTACAAAACTAGCTGTCGCCCGCGACTCCATCCTCGAGGAATTAAAAATATACTCAATACATCCTTCCAGACAGTGTTCTACATCTATGTCAAATTTCAGCGAAATGTATGCAGCCGTTCTGAAGATACCTTCAAACAAACAGCTATCCATCCAGCTATCCAAACATTCGCATTTACAATTTTAGTAAGATTCTCTTCTTAAAATTGTATTTAACCTAAAACGATCGATTTTAGAAAATACACAAAGATTATCATGCATACATCCAAACATTCGCCTTTATAATATTATATTAGTAAGATTATCCGTTTTCAAACAACCAACGAGGAAGTTGTTCCATTGAACAATAGTTCCTTAAAATAAGCAACAGAGAAAATTAATAACAAAACATTTAACTAATTAATTAAAAACAGCATAATCATAGCAAATAGGACATAAAGTGACAGCAATAGAACTCAAAACATCTTCAGCATTTCAGCAGAAAAGTTTTACGACTCTAAAGTAAACAGGCCTCTGTACTTTTTCTATTATGTAACGTAATTTACCCCTCATATTCTTTTATAATAATTTCCTATAACTATAACTATGACAAACAGCATTTATATTAGACTAGCAGTCGCACGCGATTGCGTTTTTAATTGTAGCCTATGTCTTCTTCCAGACTATATTCTACATCTGTGCCAAATTTCAGCGCGATCTATGCAACCGTTGTAGGGATGCCTTCTAACAAACATCCATCCATCCATCCAAATATCCGTATTTGTAGTATTAGTAAGATAATATGATATTCAATATGCTCGCTTAGTCCGTGTGCTATTAAGAACAGAGCTCTATCCTTGTTGTCACCAAAAACTGACATCATATAAAAATGAAATAGATATTTGATATTATTTTATTCAATTCATTGTAATTTAACTCTATATTATAATATTCGATTTAAAACCCGTTTACCAGTCACTATTTATAACCGGAATTGAATCTTGTTCCCAACAGTAGCACTAGGAAACAGGCTTTGTGAAATCAATTTGTCTTCACGTATGGAATTTTAAGTCGCAAATGTAATAAAGAACTTGTGTTTATTAATCATACTAATTAGCCAGATGTTTACTGCCACGGTTAATCGTAAATGGTCACTAAGGAAGACTCTTAGTGACCATTTACGATGAGAAGTAAGGGAATAATAATGTTGCTTCTTATCTTATCTACTAATATTATAAAAGCGAATATTTACATGGATGGATGGATGTTTGCTTGAAGATATCTCCAGAACGGCTGAACGTATCTCGATGAAATTTGTCAGACATATAGAACATAGTCTGGAAGAACACAAAGCCTACTAATAAAGTATTTTTTAATTCAGCGCAGACGGAATCGCGGTCGACAGCTAGTATTATTAAATTTCTCGTTGTTATAAAGACAATTAGCGTTGTTAGTAAAACAAATAAAATAACAGTAATAGCGCCAATGAAACATAATAAGAACACCGCGTTTACAATTACACAATCACAAGCCGCCGCTACTCAGTTGTAACAAGAAACTGGAATAATCCTTAACGGGTAATAGAACAACGATCATTTATAATTTCTCATGCAATGTGTCGTAACATAACAATATAGATTTATAAAGTACCAGCGATCACCCGAAACTCCGTCTGCACGGGATTAATAAGAAACATAGTAGGCTAAGTGTTTTTCAGACTATGTTCTATATGCCAAATTTTTCGAGATCCGTCCAGCAGTTTAGGTGATACCTTCAAACAACCGTCGATCCATCCAAACATTCGCATTTATAATATTAGTAAAAAGTAAGATTTTTAGAACTTCCTTTCAAGAAAAAACGCATTTATTTAATCTATTTTAGTTGTCTATATTAATTAAGGGATGGTAAATAGCATAGTTACTTTATGCTATCGCAACTAAAAATTTTTGATCGAAATAAGCGCCTTTTAAAAATAAATAGCAAATATTTTTTTTTTTTTAAAAAGGTTATAAAAATATCGGTACATAAAACATATTAATCGTTCGATTGGAATATCAATAAGGTAAAGGATTGCAAATAAAATATCACGTAGGTAACAAAAACTGCGTAAGTAAGTTACATGCTGCGATGTGCGATCGTAATTTATTATTGCGATTTGGTATTACCATAAATAATGCGTAAAACAAACCGTAGGCGCGTCCCGTCGCACTTGCATTCCGTCAAAGGGGATGTGTCTATTAGGCTTAAGCGACTTAACATCTCGATTCCTTAAGCAAAATAAAACCATTAAATACTTGCGGCGTATGTTACGAACTTCGACGTTACAAATTTAATTCTAGATGTATATTTTACGGTCATTAAGAAACATACTTAGGTGTGAATCATTACGCGACCACCCCGAATATACCAATGTCTTCAGCTCATATACATATACTCAGTCCGCGCGGAATTAAAAAAAAACTTAATTATAGCCTTCCGACATAGTCTATGATCTACATTTGTTCCAAATATCATCACACATTGAACTGTTCCTGAGATACCTTGTGACAAACATCGATCCATCCATTAACAAGATATCTCCAAAGAGTTGCTCAAGGTCCTTTCCAAGTTAGGGTGAGCAGGCCATAGTCAACCACGCAGGTCCAGTGAAGGCTGGGCGATTTGACACATATCTTTGAATTGTTCCACCGATTGTTGTTCTTTTTCTGGTTGCATTATAACGATCTCCTTCACCGCATATGCGAATATAGTAATACTTATAATATCGATTCATTCATTTACACTAAGTCTAAATTTTTATGTTCTAACAACTTGAAAGTACATTAAGATAGTCACTTCTTTATAGTTGACTACGCAAACTTACTAATGGAGTAGTATGAAAATGTATTTGTCCAAGTTTTTCTACAATGAAAACTCTTGATTACTAAAATCGCTGTCAGGATATAACTTAAACTATGCCATTCTTTATCTCTTAATAAATTAGTCGTAAGTGGTCATATGACGTCTTAAGTACAGGCGTTGTTTTTGGATATGTATACAAAGCGATGTGTACATATTGCGTCTGTGTGTCAGTACATTTGTCTGTATTAATATATTCCTGTAGGGTGTGTAGTCGCAGATGCTTGTTTTATTTCTGCAAAGTGTTTAATGTATTGTGGTATAAATCTTATAAATAATAATTTTACTAATGACTAATCACTTTTTATATGATAACTATCTGTCGCCTGCGACGCTGTCCGCACGGAATTAAAAAAAAACTTAATAAGTAGGCTATGTGTCTTTCAGATTATTTTCTACATCTGTGTCAAATTTCATTGAGAACCGTTCAGTCGTTCTGGAGATACCTTCAAACAAACATCCATCCATCTATATAAACATTCGCATATATGTAAAATAAAGCCTGATAAAAATATATCAAGCATATCATGAGGGCTCCAAAATCCGTAGGAAACTGTAGGAAATGTAGTACGGTAGTCTCTGCCTAATCCTATGGTTTATGCCCGTATTACTCACGTTGTCGCTTTTGTTTGTTTTTTGTTTAATTCCGTAGGTTCAACAGTGGTAGAGCCCGCTTTAACATCTTCGCACGAATCGGCCCGGCTCGCCTGGTGAAATACCACGACCACACAGAAGACAGGCGTGAAGTGGAAGCAATTCCGCGTTTCGTCTGATGAGTGTGCGTCCCGGAGGCCTAATTTAGTTCTCTTTCCCTTCCCACCCTTTTTCTTATGAGGAAAGGATGGGAAGTGGAAGTGGACTTTCCGGATGAGAGGATGCATGGAAAGGGGAAATATTTTCTTTCTGTGCATCCTCTCCTCCGTCGATTAAAGGTGGGCAACGCATATGCAATTGCGTATGTCTATGGGCAACGGTCACTTCGCTATTTCAGCGATTTCAGGTGGCCGTTCGCTCGTTTGCCACCTTATGATATAAAAAAAAGGTTTTCTTCGCAATAATCTTAGCTTAATATGTCAGTATAACACTTATTTATGATGCTACTATTATCTAGATATTGTCTTGAACACAGTTAAGATTTTCCTTAAAGAAAACAACAAGTCGAAAGAGTATTTTTGGTGTAGGAGTATTCTTGGTTGCTGATTCACACATATATTTTATTTTTATTCATAAATACAAGACGAAATAAATATAGCTACAGAAAATAAACAACGTTATAACAACGAAAAAGATCTAACATAACTTGTTCTCGGGTTTCCTTAAAGTTTATGAGACGCTGCGGACATTTTTAATATTCTCAGGAAAATAAACATAAGTAAGCTTATAAATTCCTATGTAGATATTATACAATCTTATATTTTCTGATGGTGGTATGATTAAGAGTTATTTTAGTGTGATTAGCTATCGAAGTTTCATTTAGAATTTGCGTATTTTATAAATTGTGCCAGTGTCTTCATTCCGCCACTCTTTGACCTTGAAAAATGCATATTGTTTTTACACTATTTTTATAGAGAATGAGATGACAACGTAATCTTACTAATATTAAAAATAAAAATGTTTGAATGTAGATGTATGTATGTTTGTTAGAGGGTATCTCCATAATGCTTTCATGGATCTGGCTGAAATTTAGCATAGACATAGTCTGGAAGAACACATATCCTAATAAGATTTAAATTTTATTCCGCACGTACAGATACGCGGGCGAAAGTTAGTTTTTTATAATATTTTTTGCCAGTAGAAATTCACAGTTGTAAAAAAAAACACTACACATTAATTGTTATCTTTTTTTTCTTAATCTAAATCAACATTAGACAGATCTTCAGTTATTTTTCGTACATCATCTTCTGTTCTTTTCTGGTCACTTAACTTCTGTGCTTCTTCTTTCTTCTGTCCATAAAGCCTTTTCAGTTTATCCAAAACATATTGTGGCATATGTCCAGGTTTTGGTTGGTGGATCTCATATTCTCCTTTATCATTCTTAACTAATTCTACCATGGAATCTTCTAGATTCATTACTTCTCCCGGTCTACTCGTATCTGGTCTTTTGTGTACTACTTTTGATGGGCTCTTCATCTTTTGTGCCCAGGTTTGTAAATATTTTCCAGCGTCACTTTGTAGGAACTGAAAAGAGAAACATACATTTTAACATTAAAACAGACACATTCACTAACTTTAACTATTTATGAATTAATAATGATTTCGTAAATAAAGGTGGGCTTTGAAATTCTTATAAGAGCTTTATCGAAAACGAAAACCAGCAAGCATCCGTTACCTTTTCCCTATTTTTATTAATTTTCGGAGGTGACAAGGCCGGCGCTTGTCGCTTGTTGTTCCCCGTTCCGAAAGGTTGTCCAGCTAAAAAACAATAAATAAGAGTTAAAACAATCAGTCCATATTTTTCATTTACGTGCCTATCAGAAAAAAATAGCAATGTTTTTCCTCCGCTGTCTTTATATATTTTTTAATTAAATATTACAAAAAAGAAAGAATTAAAGCACAGATTATAATTATACTATGAAAAATTTGAATTAAATAAATAACTAGATAATTTAATATCTTACTGAGATTCATAGTGTTAGTCTGCGGCCCCAGTTCGAACATGACCTGAAAGTCGGCGTGATTACCGAACGCGAATCCAAAACCCACTCGTGAATCGGTACCTGAAATTATGCAAGAAATAATTAAGTTAAGTTCAGTTTTAATAAACAAAGACAATGACAACTATAAAGTACAACGATTTTATAGATTATTTTAAAATTTGATGTTTAAATTCAAGTTCATCCGTAAATATTATATGGAACTAAATTTACATGTAATAGATGAGAATAGTTATGGGGCTTACCTTTTTTAATAGGAGGAATATTTGAATAAGCAACGGACAACAGCGATGGTAGCTCCTCGGGTATGATCACGGAGCATTGTCCTGGAAATTAAGAAAAGTTAACATAATCATTTTTTAACTAACTGTTAATTATTTAAATTGTTTATATAGAAAGAAATATCTATAAATAAGAGTCATTGTCGGATCCTGACGGAAGACCTCCATAAGCGAGAAAAATCGCTTATGCAGGTTCGATTATAGATCTACATTCCTCTCTTTCCCTTTGAAAAAACCCAGATATTATAATATGTTTTTACTTATATACTTTTTTTATTTCGTGAATTAAGTGGTAAAAGTAGTCAACAATAAGTTCTTCCCTGACTATACGAGCTATACTTTTTCTTAGTAACCAATATTCTCATTAACATATCCGCAACACAATAGCTATTGTAAGCTTCACTAACGTAACTGTGTGAAATATAAAGTAACCGTTGAATTCCACTACTGTATCCTCTACTGTCACTTGTATCAATAAATATTGTAGTCCTTGTTTTCTCTACAACGATAAAAGGGATGACAATATGTTCTATATTACTAATCTCTAGTTGTAGTTTAGAAATGACAGCCTTTGCCTTGTTCCGAAGCATTCGCTTCAAAGCGATTCCATAGCGAACTTCAAAATGTATGGAACTGACGCACGACAATCAACGAAAGTTACTGTCAGTTCCATACATTTTTGAAGTTCGTTATGGAATCGCTTCAGAGCGAAAGCACTTTGTCTAACCCTCCTGTTATAATTATTTGTTCGAATTCGAGTTCTACTACTGGCCACAACCACCAGAACTAAAAAGAAACTGTCCATTTAATAGAGATCTGTGTTCTATACACAAATGTGAGTGCAGTAGAACTCTACTGTTATAAAAAGTTCATGCTTGACTGCACTAACGATACGAACCTTGAGTTATTTAATACATACTAGGTCTTGTTTCACGCCTTAACTTGAGTTATTTAAAAAAGTAGTCATTAATAGAGTCTCAATTATGTAGAAGATTCGTTACGTTATTTTATTACATTGTACTAAGACTAAACGTAAATTTATACATAAAAACGGAGAGAGTTTGAACATGTAATATTATCTTACAACCAGGTTATTAAATATTATGTTAATATGTAAATGTGAAATGTACAAACTGTTACGTCATTATATCTTTGTGGAAATAAAAATATATTTAGAATACTCTTTCAGCTTTTCATATTTCTACATGCTTGATATAAGGAAGTATTCTCAAGTTAAGTTATAATTATTTAAAACCTTTCGACTTAACTACATTTATGAAAAAATACTATCTGTCACCCTTGCCTCCGTCCGCGCGGAATTAAAAAAAATTAATAAGTAGCCGATATATTCTTCCAGATTATGTTCTATATCTGTGCCAAATTTTATCAATATCCGTTGTACCTTTCCAGAGATACCTTCTAACAAACATCCATCTAAACTTTCGCATTTATATTATTAGTAAGATTATTGTCATGACGTTTCTTTGTTCAATTTTCTTTATTTTTTCTTCAAATACGACTAAAAGAGATTATATAACTTTTGTACTGTTGTAGGTTCGAATAGCTTTCAAAGAAATTTTTGGGCAGCATAGTCAAATCAATATGTGAGGCAAGTCACGGCCGCTCGACGTAGAGGTGCCAAAACTCCACTACCACAATACAAATTATTCACGATGTCTCATTTTTGGTGAACATATTTTATATAAAGATCGTCATATCCTGACTGACAAATTGGTGATGTTTTTTATTTGTATAGGATTGTATGTATACGTAAATTCCATTGTGACTGCCTACAACCTGAACTGATTTAACAATTGAGTCATTCGATTCGTTCCCCTGAGTGTCATAGACCTACAGACAATCTTTTTTATAAGAAATACTGTTATTTACTCTTTTATTTATTAAGAAAAGTTCTGTGAAAATTGATCCAATTTCAGTAAGGTTTCTCTTACAGGCATATAATGACGTGAAAACTACACAAATGACACCATTTGCAATAAAAAAGAAAGTAACTCATTACATCCTTTATAGTGTTGTATCAATAGAATTATTTGTCATATGTCTGGTTACAACCACACATAAACGTGGACAATAACAGCTTTTATTTTCAATAAATTACAACTAACAAAGTGGTCCTCGTATTTGTTTTCTATCACAGGCACTGGAGAAGTTCCATCCATTTATACTTTTAGAAAAAACTCAATCTTAAATATGTCTCATTCAGGCCGTATTATAAAAGATTATTGCACTTGGGTCGAGCAGGACTTTGTGATTAAATAAACATGCAAATTATATTCTTCTGCACCATTTGTCACGCTTGAAACTTCACTGTTAATCGATCAACAGTTGCTGTCAACTTTTTTTTCAGAGAAGAATGCTTTATTCATACTCCGCGCCCCAGAGGGGACGCGGTAGTTTTGTGGGATTCTCCTCCTTATCGGAGGCATACCCACTAAACTTCTCTGTTTCGGGACGAGACCACGGGCAAGCTTTCGCTCTCCTCCGCGGCCCAGTTGCTTTCAACCTAACTATTTTTGTACCTCACACACACAGACACTGCATACATAAATAACACAGGATTCATTTTGTGGAACACTAAAGATATTTTTTTAAATTTTGCATGCACCAAATTGCATATAACTCAAATGAGATAATACTAACCATCAATAGAACTAACCTATAAAATCTTCTAAACCATAAATACTAGAGTTTTGGAACATTCATAAATATATTATTGCGTGCTAAAATCTGTTTAGTGTGTAAGTGCAAGTTGTCAAAAGATCGCAACCTTACATGGTTTGTGTTGCGTATCTGTTGTATGTAGGTCAGGGTTTCCCGCCTTTACTCTAACTTGTTAAAATTCACTTTTAACTTGTGTAACCTTACAACAAGAAATACAATAGAAAAGTAAGACAGTTACAAAATGCTTTTATCAAAAAAAAAACAGACAAAACTGCCAGGCTTATTTTGTAAAAATCATACGAAATTTTCATATTTTATCGATTATTCAACCTCCTTATTTATTTTAAAAACATTTTTGTTGAATAATTTTATATAAAAACTACACCTTGGCTATAACTATTATTTATTTTGAGGTCAATTTTCAACCTTGTTAATTTCTTATTAAATATTCATCGCAATGCTCTGTTGAACAAATGTTATTTTTTATATTGGATTAAAACTTAACATTAATGAGTATTACATAAATAAATCCTATCAATATCGTATATATATAAAAGAAAGTCGTGTTAGTCACACTACTTATAACTCAATAACACCTAGATATAGTTGAAAATTGGTGAGGAGGTAGCTTAGAGCCAGGAGACGTATATAGAGTTCTATTTATTATTATTTTTTTCGAATTTATGCCTTGAATAGGCTTATCATTTTTATTTAACTTATCTATATATTAAGTTTTTTATATATACACGCGGACGGAGTCGCGGGCGACAGCTAGTTTACAATATATCTCTAACGTAAGTAGTTTAAGAAAGTCCAAAGAACAACCTTAGGTTAAGAGCAAAGACATCTTAACTAACGCAAACCTGTTTCTCGCTACGAAATCGAAACCATATTACACAACTACTGCTAAACACAGCTAAAATTACATGACGAACATCTGTCTACTTAAATATTGACTAATATAATTAAATATTAGTTCCAGGTAAAACCTTATAGAAAATAAAAAGATTGAACGCAATACAAATCATACTTCTTATCTTACTAATTTTACTAATATTAGTAATGCGAATAGATGGATGGATGTTTGCTAGTTTCATATTCAAAACATCTAAATGGATCTCGATGAAATTTGGTTTTGATGTAGAACATACATAATAGACCACTAATTTTTTTTTAATACCGCGCGAATGGCGTCTCTAGCGACAGCTAGTAGACTGATAAACCAAAGAGTAAGGAAGCATAGTCTCTTCCTTAAAAAAGTTAAATCCAATTTCTACCACTAGCCGTTGGTTTCTGAGACTGAAATCCCCGTTCATAACATATTGTTATCTCTGTTTTGTCAAAGATAATGACAGGAATCACGGTAAGTTTTATACAGATTTTGCGCAGAACGGTTAGAACATCTTCATGATAGTGCTTTTGTCTATGACTACCGTAAATTCTTATACTGAATTAAATTAACGGTCCTTTCATTAAACTTTAAGGTTTTGAAAGTTGTTATTGCACATAAAGTAAAGGGGTAATTTGTGGTAACCTTATTATTATGCTTTTGAAGGTTAATAACATATATTAACAGTACACAAAAACAATGTGAAGGATTTAGATCGATTAATATAATTATGCTGTAATTTATTATCCCCTCGCCGTTCACTTCGTATCCTTTTAATTTTTAATAATATTCAAAGTAAACGATTTGACATTCTGACCCAAAAGAATTTGTTCTAATTCTTTTAAAAATATTTATTATATTATTTTCTACTTATTTTCTTTTATTAAATTCAAAGTAATTACTCTTATTTAATTATTTTTGTTTATAAATAAATAAAGAGATAAATTTATCTGTTTATTATTTAATAGTGTTTAACACACGGCTACAGATTTGTTACTACAGTTGAAATATGGTTGAAACATTATCATTTCATCGATATTGTGAATAAATATTAGAAAGTTTTATAACACAAATACTAGTCAACAAATACTAATCCTAATTCAGTATACCCCAAATATTTACTTGCCTAAGGAAAACAGGAACAACAGATATATAATTTTCACCGTCATTTTAAAAACAATTTCTGTAGATCACTGTTTCACGTAACATACACAAGCATCGTAATAAAATCCAGTCAGTAAACTCGCATTATACAATTGTCAATGACTGAATTAAAAAAAAGAACTGTCAACGCGACTGATTTTGCCGCCAAACTAAACGTAGAAACATATGACGACCGACAAGGGAACTTTCACTATTACGACAACGATTTATGTCTTCTTAATAAACTATTAACTTATTACTTAATTTGTACTGCAATTAGGTTTACATTCCATTGACATGAATCATGCAGTTTGTACGTTTGTAAATTCGCAACATATTTCACTAGTGTTCGAAATTCAAAATCCCCGGGTAGTAATGCTCTTAATACGGTCAAACAAAAATAACCCCTAAAAGTAAGCAGCAAAAAGCTTACTTTACAATAACAAGCAATCATGCACTTGACATCCGTGTGTGTGTTTCCATTCACCACGCTCTAAATATTTGTTTGCAGCAATAACTGCATGCCAAAAGGCCATTCAACTTTCGTCTTTAATAGAAAGTGATAAGTACTAAATTAACATGAATAAAGTTCTACTTATGATCTTTTGCGGTAATTTAACCACCACTTTCATATTTTGTGAAACCAAGAGTGGTGGAGGTATTCCAACAAATATAGAAAGCTTATATTCGGTTAAGCAATAACAACTTTAGCAATAATAACATCCGCATATGTCATTATTGACAATTTGCTGTACGGGACCGGGACTTAGTCCGCGTGAAATTAAAAAAAAAACACTATGTGTGTATTACGATGAGTTATTGCAAATCTGTCCTACAAGAACGTTTCATATGTTTTATGATCTTATTCACACCGTTCCACTTGGCCTGTTCAGAGTTATAGCTGTAAACAAACATCAGCACATGAAAATGACATGACTTGACGTAACGAGAATAATACATGACGTTGGCTTAGACAGTTGGACTTAATTTATTGAATCAAAAAGCGCCTGATATTTGTTAATAGTTTTTATTTGATTCTACTATTTCACTATTACTAATCAGCAGAGTGGCACAGCGGGACGGCGTCGAAGTGTAGGTGAGGTGTCCGCATGTTAATCACAAGGCTCTCATTCATAGATTCCTATCGTTTTAGGGATAGTTTTTGACGCCCTTTTCTACGTCTACCATCTCTATCACTGCCGAACTTTCTTACTTAAATACAATAATCCGTTTGGGAAAAGGAAAAAATATTTTTTTTAATACTTGTACCACAACAAATGTGCATACTTCTATAAGATAATCATTATTAATTACCGTGGGAACACAGTCCAATGTACAATAGAATAAGTTTTTGCGACCCACCGCGTACCGTACGGCACACCACTCCATCAGTCTTCAATGTCCTTTCAACTCCTTTAGTCTTTTTTTTATTTTATTGGCTATTGAGTGCCAGTACCAATTCCCGCTCTTTTTGTTAATATGTCACGTGATATAAAAGTAATCTGTGCTATTTTTTTCTTATTAAAATGTAAGTTTTTTTATATTTCTTTAAATAATTTACGGCACCGGTTCTCAAACTTTTTTGTCTACGGGACCCTTTTTTTAGAGCCCCAGGACTCTGCGGCTTTACACTTTAATAAACGCTGCTTTATAGAATAGTGTAGTAGGTGTATTGACCTTGTAATTAATATCTTCCTATTCAATAACAAGTCCTATTCGCTTTTTATTACAAAAACAATGAGGCTATCCTCATCTTTATGCTCATATCGTTTCTGTATTTTGTATTGTCCTTAAAAAAACAAGAATTATGAACTACTTTTCCATTGTATTAGTACAAATGCTAACCATAGGCCTTATTTTCAGATACAAGTGCCGCTCATCTTGCCAAAATTGCACCAGAGGATGTCTCTGCAGGTCTAACTGTGATATATGGCTTCGCACCACGATTGAAACTTGGCAAGTAACATATGAATTAGAAATTAGAACTACAAGTTTCTCCAATGTGTTCCTGAAGACTATGTTCTACATATTTGTCAAATTTTCTTCTAGATTGTTGTGAGAAGCACAAACATCCATACATCAAAACATGCGCATTTATAATATTAGTAAGACGTACTTGTACGTCATACGTACCTAAAAAACTAAAGGAATTCTTTGTGTAATAAAAATTAAAAATTATCCGCCCGCATCATCAAGTAACTCGATATGTTAACGGGAATTTCATTAACGTCTGGTCGTGGGAAAAATCTCTACTTAGGTGTTTAGTTTTTTAATATTATATTTTTCTAAAAGGTAATGACCATCGTGTTGGTTTCGGATTCAGATTTGGGAATCATGCAGATTTTCAGATCTTATACGAGTTTGGACCCCAAACTATCACTACTCCGACGCAGGCTATTAGTAAGTTTTTTTTCATAAATTTTAGGCTAAATTACATATGAAATAAAACGTCTTGTGATATAATTCTATCATACATTTCACGAGATATACCTATCAGGGAATCATCATCATCATCAGCTCACTATACGTCCCCACCGAGGGGCTCGGAGCCTATCCTAAGTTAAGGGTGATTAGGCCATAGTCAACCACGCTGGCCAAGTGCGGGTTGGTTGAGTTCACACATATCTTTGAATTACTTCTCAGATATGTGCAGGTTGCATCACGATGTTTTCCTTCACCGTAAGAACGTCGGATAAATGTACATATGTAAATCGAAAATCGAAAAACACATTGGTACATGGCGGGATTCGAACCCAGGACCTGCAGATTGCAAGTCAAGTGCTTGACCACTGAGCCACCGACGCTCCCAATCAGGGAATGACTTATGAAAATAACAATTTTCAACTCACAAAGGTTAGAGATATGAATCTAAAAACCTCACAGTATAAAAATTGGTCAAGCTGATTTGGCTATAGGCGTCACAATTATACCTTTCAGTAAGTCTGACAATTATTATGAAATGTGTGTGCATGTATGAATAATTTCAGAGTCCAGATCTCCCTCGTACCGTCACACCAGGAAGCCACGTCGTCGACCGCTCATAGACCTGCTAATACGAACGGGCTTGCTACGGGAAGTCGAACGCATAGAAAAACATCCGCGCAACACCACCAAAAAGCAATCGAATTCAACACAAGTAAAAGCTTGATTGATTTTCTGATAAATATAGCAAACGTACGTATATCCTCATGTTTTTAACTTCATTTAATTTGTATTGTACGTTTAAAAACCTCGAAGAAGGCACAATGTAGGGCACATACATGCCGGTAAAATGGTTACTCACCAATCCTGGAAGAAAAATTGAAAATCATTTCTGAAGTATACTCTATATAGGTTAAATAAAACGCATAAATACGATTATTTCCTTTGTATTTCTCATAAAAAATGTTTCGAATCACTATGACTAGTCTGTACATATTAAAATACACATAATGTCCGACTAAGTACAGTTTATTGCAACATTAGCATTGAAATTATCGCAGAATACGAATATAATCAATAAAAATCGTGATAGTGCTTTCAAGTCGGACATAATGTGTAGTTAAAACTTACGATGTGAAAATATGTTAGTTGAATCGACTACTAAAAGCAATATAATGTTTCTATAGCATATAAATTAAATATAATATATAATTTAGCTGTAATTTTGCACTAAAAGGTTAATCAAAAAAATACATAGAAGCATGACAACAGAATTTTCTATCATGCATGAGCTTTTATGGAAGGACAATTTTAATGAGCAACCATGGACGAAAATTTTTTCATATGTTTGTCTCACGATCTTTATCTCCTAATCATAGTAAGGGCTGTTCCTAACCGTGCGTTTCCACTGTTGATACATTGTTATAAAACATATCACCTAAATATAAGAGATGTGTTTTCGAGCGTGAATTGGAAGAATACGAGAAGAATTTTAGCAATGCAATATGTTTAAGGTGTCTAAGGGAATAAATGGAAGTTTAATAGGTTATATATGTTTAAAAATGTATCTTAATAATAAGCTTTACTATGATATCAGTATTGTATATACGTTCGTAAAATAACTAGTATAAAAATTAATACAATAATATTTTTAATGTAATACCTACGCCATTCCTTTAACAATTCCATTGTTCTAATCCCTTGAACTTAATGTATTTGGATTTTTTATGAACGCTCTGTTCTGAGGGCTCGGCAGTGCCTCCTACGAAGCGAGTTGAAAAATTGAAACAATTCCATTCCACAATTCCCCTTTTTTCAAGGTAACATTAAACATTTAAACTACTACAATTGTGTAGTTACTAGTGTATGTAGATACACTAATGTATAAAAATGCTAATTATTTTAAAACGATATCCCGTTTGAATCTACGTCCACTACCAAATAACTAAACACCTAACATTAATCGAACACTTAACTTGAATGTTATTACAAGGTAACTTAACGTTCACTTAACCGCAACTGTCAAAATATCTACATCTAAAGACGGCCATTTTGTTTCATAGACACATACTTAAAATCACATTTAATTTATTTTAATTAATTACTTAGCAATGATGACCATTACCGACCTGTGATCATTTTCATATTACTAAAATACACCTAAAATGCAGTAAAAACTTTTTTGTCAAAAATTTCCGTATTGACAGTTAAAAACTTTTTTATCATTAAATAAAATTTTCATAAACGTAAAAACTAAAAAAAAATGTAAATTAAAATTAAAAGAAAAAAAAATAAAAAACAAAAAATTCTTTAATAATGATTGTAATATCGTTTCTAAATATTATTATAATAACATTAGTCTTTTTTATAAATGGCAATACAATTTTGAACATTAAATAATTAAAAAAAAGAATATCTACATACGGTCACAAGACTCCACGGAAAATACAAGTTTCTGCGTATTTGAAAATTGTCAGTAAATGTACAGTTCAATTAAAATGCTAAAAAAATATTGTCTGTATAAAAATGCCCATAATTATTTTCTTTTACATTTTGGATAAATAAAGAGTTATTCCTATACTTTACATAATAAGATTATTTTTACTGATATTTAGTTCTTAATAATTCAATTGAAAGATATAAGTGAATTAATTACAAAATATTTTTAGTTACAAAAAAAATTCCGTAGTCATAAAGGCCCATACAGTTACCGGCCAAAAGTCATCTTGCAAACTGACGATCATATGAATATTTTATATTCAATTTCTTACTTTGGGTGTAGACTAAGCACTTTTATAAAATCAACTCATCTCTTTTATTATTTAAAAAAAAATGAGACAGCAATATGTGCTAATAAGTCATGACAGTGAAATTCTTCAATTCAAATTAACTCAATACAAGCATTTTTCAAGTTATTTGCCGTTTACTATATTTTAGGTAATAACTTGACAATTGTATTGTGTCTTAGTAAATATAATTATTTGGATTGCTTATTTAACTCTGTTTTTTTCATATTCAAAAATGGAATAAATTAATTTAAAACGATTGATCATTAGATTGTTATTTTTGGTTGCATTTATCAAAATAAAAGGACCTATTCAACTGCTTGTTTAAAAAAATAATAACAGATGGAATTGTACAAGAGGAAAATTTAAAAAAAAAATTGAAAAGAAACAATACTAGAACGCAGATATATATAAATACAGATAAAAGCACTATTTCTAGTAATAAAAAATAGTAAGAGAATAAAAAATTATAGCATTTTTTTCATAATTATTTCAATTCAAAATGTCTATTTCTAGAAATAATCATAATATATTCGTAAGGCTTTCACTATTAAAGACTTACAATGCAAGTAATAAATAATATTAACAAAAATAAATAATATAATAATATGTTATTCTATGAGACTTTTCTGATATATTTTAGATATACAGAATTCAAAGATATCTGTGAAGTCAACCCGCACTGGGCCAACATGGTTGGCTTAGTCACCCCTAACTTAGAGGCTCCGAGCACCTCGGTGGGGACATATAGTGAGCTGATGATGATAGAATACAAATAGAAGCTATAGTATTGTTTCTTTACACATTAAAACATATGCAATAATAGAAATTACACATATGATATACACAAACATATATGTTCTAATATTAAATTTACATATATATGTATTTCGGTAAAATGACGACTATGTTCCCTTTAAATGCTGATATATTAAAATAAATCATTGAAAACAGAAAAGTTTCATTATTTTACATACACAAATATATGGAGACATTAAAATGATATGATTTCTTACTTTAATCAAACTGTTTTAGACATATACAACCTCAATCTTTTTTCAGTTACATACTTTAAGACATTGTTAATTCTTTAGCATAAACAGGACCAATTAAACAAGAAATATACATATCAAACATTTCACAGTAACCAAAGATCTTTTAGGAATGGTTTAATTTGAATTATTGTTTATTATTATAGGCTTATTCTGATAGATGTTGAAATGTAACATAATTGTGAGGGAAATAACCACAGTTTTCATGTATATTTATAGACATTTTTCTATAGTAAGCAAAAACAGTTATTTTGGTATCCAGTTTCATATTTTGTTTTGGGCACAATTAAGATCAGTTAATTAATGCTTAATTAATTTCGTTATTTTACTTAAAATATAATTATCTCGAATTCTATTTAGTATCTTACACGATCACAACTACATACACATTTTAAAATTCAAGAGTATACAAGAGTTATTTATAACACAAAGTCGAAAAGCGAATCGATTAAGTTAACTCGACTTATTGAAACTGTACACAATATCCGTACGGGTTACTCGATTATGACGCATTTCTTGTCGTCGTTGTGCTAACTCAACTAATTAAACCTTTACACGGGTTTCGTACGGATAAGCTTTTGCCACACTTCGTAAACTTCCCGTTGACTCGACTAATTGAAATTGTACACGAGATCCGTATGATTAACTCGGTTTTAACGCACTTCATAACTTGGTCGTGTTAACTCGGATTTTAAGCACTTCTGATCAGTCGTTAACTCGACTAATTCAAATTGTTCATTAGATCCATATGGGTAACTCGGTTATAACACACTTCGTAACTTGATAGCGTTATATCTCACTCAAGTCTTTTTCTATACTAGCTATCGGCGCCGGGTTCTCTGGTGGCGGGCGGCAGGCTCTGCGGGCTCTGAGAGAACTGGTTCACCATCTTACTCTGCATCATGTTCAGCAGGATATCGGAGTACTGCTCGATGAGAGACATCGCCGGGTTGCCCGCTACGCTCGCTTCTGCATATACATATAGACAATTTACCTAAACGATAAAACTTCCACAGATGTCTAAATGGTTATCAATAAGCTGTGACCATAATGCAGATTTCTCATTCAACTAACCAAATGCCCTGATTACAACTTTAATTATGACAGTAATATGGACTATGTTTAAATTAAAAAAAAACATCGACAAATCAAATCTTAATGTCCAATAAAAGATAGTTTTATGGTTTTGCTAATGAACAAGATTGTATTAGAAAACTTCCTAACTCAGAGTGATTGCTCAGCGCCGATTTAATGAGTCACACTCAGATTCCTGTAATACCAATAAAGGAATACCATATCATAGATTTAAAATAAATCGATACTAACCATTAAGTGACTTAGTGTGTCATAGTGGCATATGATTATATACCTTTGGACACGAGGTTCTCCAGCTTCTGTCGCGTGGAGTCCACATTCAGCGCGCGGCAATCACCATCAGTAGAAGACAAGCTGCTGGGTGCTTCACCGTTCTGCGCGCGCAACACAGCTCCACGCAGCACCTTCTGCGTCTCCAGTATCGCTGCTTCTAAACCTGAACACAACACAAACCACTCTAAATAACAATTACATATTGTTGTCTCTGTTTAATCAAAGAGAATAAACGGGATAACAATATGTGTCAAGAAAGCAATCGAAACTCAGAGTAAGAATTAACGAAAAATTTTCATGACATATTAGAAGACTTAGAACTTCCTAATAAAAGAATTATTCGCGCCAACGCCTGTGAGTTCTAAATAGCAATTCTACAACTTAGTAATAATGCCATTAAGTTTTAGCAATTTTGCAGTTGTCTATTTTTAATTTAGTTCTGTTTTATAATACATACAGTTCAGTTCATAGTTATTTAATTGAGTCTATTAAACGACATAAAGTATATCTTCTACTTTTGTATGGTCTAAAGAGAAATGATGTCGTTGCATGTGGATGTAATGCACTGACCACTGATGTCTGCGGCGGCGCTCGGGTCGCGCTGCAAACGGCGGTAGAGATGCACAACTTTGCCCGCAGTCTTCGTCAGCTGGTCCGTCAGCGCCAGGCACAGCTGAGACGGCGATACTGTAATATATATGACACATTTGTAATCATACTAATATTATAAATGCGAATATTTGAATATATGGATGTTCGTTTGAAAGTATCTCCAGAACGGCTGCATGGATCTTGCTGAAATTTGTTTGCGTGGTATTTCTATTTTAAAAGGGAGTTCACGGTGAGATGGTTAACATTGATAACAATATTTATTTCTTACAGTTATTTTCAGGTGGGGGTTCAGGTTTGCTGCGCTGCCGCGTGTTGGTGGTCAGTCGGGCGGTCACCTCGCGCGCCTTCGCTGACAAGTCGCGCTCGCTGCCACTGCGACCTAGACATAAATCATGATAAGAAAAAAAAAACTACATACGTAATAATAATTAGTCATTTCTTTGGCGGGGATAAAATATGCATATCAGGACAAGTCAATGTTAATACACTATACTAAAATCCTACTTGAATCTGATCCATAATTGGTATTTTTGCGATTTTCACCTTTACACGTTTAGACCTGTCAATAGTCAATAATGACAATAACCTTTTTGTTGGTACATACCAACAAGTCTCCGCTGCGCCCTGTCAGCGGAGGCGGCGCGAGGGCGGGGCGCGGCGACGGGCGGCTCACTAGTGCCTCTGTCCTCCGCCTCCGAACTGGACTCCTCGCGCGCCACCGTCGACACACTCGCTGTACCAATGTCAATGTTATTCCGTGCAGGGTACGGATCAAAATGCAGTGCACACATTAGTATATTAGACGCCACTACGGAGAATTTCACGTGTCGAACACGTATATGGGTTTTTGGAAGTGCACTATGGAATCTAGCTACGTTCACACATTTGAACAGATTTAATTAAAAATGTATAATTTTATTCTTGCACAACTATGTAGTTAGAAAGGGACATAAATCCTTTTTACAGTACGTCTTAGTTTTCAAATGTCAAAATTAGTATTTTCTAGATATTATTTCTAATAACTACTCAAAGTATGCAGTAAAATGTGTACTAACCAGTACTATAAGAGTTGACGAGTCCTCTCCTTCGCGCAGTGTTCGCGGTGGCCTTGTTCATGGAGCTGATGGTGGGTCGCATGAGACCTTGCACGCGTGACGCCGCCTGCCGCGACGGCTGTGGGTCCGACTCTGAATCACTCTGAAAACAGTATTTTTTTTTAATAAAACATCATACTACCTACATAATTTTTAAGTAACTAGCCTCAAAACTACTACCAACATCAATGGAATTATTCCTCCTTTGTATCTATTTTTAATGAATTCGCTAGACGAGTCAATATGCGTGTTTCATACACCCCATTCAGTTAACTTAAGTTATTGATAATTACCTGATTGAGTACACCGACACTGGAGCTCCTCGTCATACTGGACTTGCTGTTGTACCTCGGCGCCGGGCGCACGAACCCGCTCGGAGACTTGCTCGAGTTCGCGCTCGTCGGCGGAGTCGACTTCACCGGTGCTAGACAAACAAAATACGCTCTTATTAACGAAGTATATGATATATGTTTGTTTGTCAGGAAGAAGAAAATGAGATTACATTAAGATATGAGTAATCAGTAAGGAATGAAGTTAGTAAATATTATATACAAAAATAAATTAACGTTAATTTTAGTTTGATAGAACTGAGAGCTTTTGTTTAACTTATGAATCTAAAATAGAAAAAAACTATAAAAACATTAATTATGTACATCCTAATACACTTAGAGCAGATCTAAAAGCTTAAGACACTTTTAAGGCACCTCAATGACATGAAAACCTCAAGAAACAAACGCCAACCCTAATACCAACCAAAATAATAATTTAAAAAAAGTGTAGCCTAACGTAATAAAAGCAAACCAAGCAATTTCCATAATCAAATTAAAAACCACCACAAAATAAAAGGTAAAAAAAATCAAAAGACACACAATTTGAAAGGACATGCATTTACCTAAATGAAAAAAGTTTCCTAGTATGTGATGAAATTATAAAGAACCCAGCTTGATAAATCCACGTGCAAACTCCATAGCTCCTCCGTGTTAGTGCTAAAGGAAGTGTCGTGACCCATCACCGCAGCCCTTAGGGAGTACAAACCTTGCGGCGTGCGCGGCGCCGGCACTGGCTTTGCGAGGTCGGAGAGGGATATCGCCCTTCTCATGCCGCCCGCCTCTTCCTCGCGCTCCGGCGGCGAGAGATGTGTTCGGCTCGCTGAGTCACACCGATCATTTTGTAAGTCACATGCGCAAGCGACAATAATCTGAACTTCGTTATAACGATACCAGACTGAACTATAAAATCTTTATTCATCTTGAAATGTTCAGTTTAAAGTCAGATTATCGTGCCTTATAAGCAAACACTAAAAACTTATATCTACGTAACCGATTCGTGCATACTCAATATTCGACATGCTGAAAAAAACAACAAAGCTGTTTGCGATGATTTGTGAAGATTGCAAGTGCAAAAATCATTGGATAAAAAGAAACGTATCATCTTATTTCATATGTCTCTAATACTTAGTTTCCTCACAAAATATCACAAATTTTGAATAAAAAAATTGGATTCGATAAATTTGATATTGAACGAAAATTATAAGAAGCGTGAAATAAAAATTTAACCGTTACAACATCTATGGTTATTCGTTCAAACATGCGAATCCAACCTTGCACTGGTGAAAATTTCGACGGCAGAACTGGAGGTTGGAAGGGAAACTTTTTGGACAGACCAGAATTCCTTACACCACCCCCGGAAGCCAGCGATGGCCTAACTTTACACTCAGGAGTGCACATTTGGTTCCCTGTATTGCATCTAGGTCCTGGCATACGGAACACTTTTCTCAGCGGAGTTTTCGGTCTATGGAAGCCATACATAGATAATCTTTTCGGAGAATTAGTGCAACTAGAACTGGTAGTCGAAGATTCATAATTTTCACTATCTAAATGCACATCCGTTTTAGGTATAACCATTTCATTATAAACACGTTGTGGCAATGTCTTTTGAATTGCTTTCAATTCACTACAAACAGCATTATTTAGTTGTGTAGGTTCAGGATGGTCAATTTCTATAGCATCGTTTCCAGCGTCGTTACTCACTTCGATATCCACTGTGACTAAACCACCGATTTGATCTGAATCTAGTATATCAGGTAGACTGAGATTCCGTTTTATTTCTTTATTTTCTGATGCTGTATCGGTGTCAGTATCAGCTTCTTCTAATGTGAGTGATGTAAAATCGGATACAGTGTTTTGTTTCGTTGCCAACTTTTCAAATTTTCTTGATAAAAGTTTAACTACACCTTTACCATCATTAATATTAGCTTTCAAGGGTCTCATTCGCCATTCTTTTAGTATTTTCTCCTGTAGTATCTTTCGTTCCTCCATTTCGACTAATTTGTTGATAATTTCTAGTTTGCGCTCTATGTATTTGTATTTTTTTACTTCATCGCTTGTATCTGGCGGTGCAATGTTTTCTTTCGCTGCAATATTTTGTCGACTATGACATGGACCTTCACACTCAACTCTGGAAGACATTCTTCGATTCATCTGATTCTTTGAAGTCCTAATGATAGTCTTTTTCTTATCTTGTTCTGAATAATAATCCAATGAATCTTTGGAAAATTCATTTTGACTGTCATCAATAACGTCTAAAGAATCCATGCTGACATGCTGCAGTCTTTCCATCCTTTGTATTGCGAAGACCTCTAAACTATCCATCTGCATTTCGGATTTATTTTCGTTCACATCTTTTTCTTTTACAAATACATCAAACGATTTTTCCACACTATCAGAATCAACTTTGTTTGAATTCGCATCTTCTTGTTTTTTATTACTATTATAATTTTTATTTTGAAGGCCGTCTAATTTAGCTTTATATTGTGATGATATGGAAGAACTTAGTGTACCCTTATCTAAGCCAGCTTTAAGTCTGTTGTTCATCTTAGTGGAGGAAGTTCGTTTAATCGGTTTTGGTGGTTTATGTGGAACGAATTCCATCGTAATTTTGACATTGTTATTTTTTGGACCAGAGCCTCTTTCAAGACTCTTAGTAGTATTGTTATATTTTGCAGCATTTGCTTTCTCTTTGTTCAATTGATTTTTGTTTACTTTGGTTTGAATATTTTTACGTATTTGCTCCTCAAATTTCTCGAGATTTTTCTGTACGTGCGAGTTGCGTTTTTCCATTAAATTTTTAAGTGGGTTTGGTTTAGAGGCTGGTTCTAAAACAACTTCGAAACTGCAACTTTTCGATTTAGTCATAGTATTTTGTTCACAACCTTCCATCTCACTTTTATATTTATGTTTTTCGGAAAACTTTGGTTGTAAAGACTTACTAGTATTTGCCATATAATCACCAGTATTAAGTCGTGGAATTTCATCAGTTCCTTTTTTCTCCTTATCGTACTGCTGTATATTATTACCATCGAAATAATAAGCAACACTTTTTGTCGAAGCTGGTATTTGTTTCGAAGTAGAATCGTATAAACTTTTAGACCTGGTGACCGTTTTATGACCAGAATATTCGCCACCTGGTATATCAAAACCATAAACTTTACTGGTTGGCGGTTTTGGGCTAACTACTATGTCTCTATAATTCGAAGAACTTTCACCAAGATAGTTGTTATACATGTAACCCCCCATGTAGGATACGTTGTTAGGACTGGAACCATAACTTTTAGAACTATTGTCGAATTCATAGCAACTTTTACTGTTAGGCATTCCCGCAGCTGGGTGACTCGGTTTTCGTGAAGTTCGAGCGCCTTCAAACAGCATTTCCAAAGGAGCACTTTTGGTGCACTCAGAATCATCAGAGAGAACGCTTTCTAGCGAATTACAATTAGTCCTTGACAGCTGAATATCATTATCCAGGTACATTTCATCAGATAGCATAGATTCCTGACTGCAGCTTGTTTTCATATATTTCTTCTGGTTCAAGAAGAAACTAGCACTACTATGTCTGTGTTTTTCTAAATATTTATCATCAGGTTCGTTCAGATTCTCGAAAGAACAATTTTGAGAATCGTTAAGATTATATCGACTGTCATACTTTGCCTGCTGGAAGGCGACTTCGTTGCCATACTTTAAAAATATTTCATTAGAAACGCTGGAACAGTTAGAATTGTCACTCAAGACGGACTCATTTGAACGAGTAATACATCTTTTGGTCAGCACACTTTGGCATCTATACATACTGTATTTATAATTTATAGGATAATTTTCATCCATAACATCATCAATATTCGAAGGCATATTTCTAGGTAGAGTAGAACTTTTCTGGCTTATACATGGCGGTTTGACAGGTACCGCAGGTTTTTCCATAGTACCACCGTATAATTCATAATTAGACACAGCCCGACGTGGCATACCTTTGGCTTTTGTATGCTTTTTACATATCTTCTTTGAATACAATTTATTCTTGCAACTTACGTCTTGACTGAGACTACAATCTTCGAGAGAATCTGAGGAGAAATTTCCATCATCTTTCTCAACTACTTCCTTTGAGGGTTGGAGATCTAAATCCCCTTGATTGTTAGGTTCATATTCATCCAAATCACCATATTTTCTAGTTATTTCTGCAATCATTTTCTCTGTATCAATTTTTATAGTGTCTACTATACTTTTACCAGTTTCTTTAGCTCGGTTGTCTATACCAACGAAGAAGCTTAAAGAGTTTCTTTTCTTTGGATCTACCGGAGCGTTTTGAGGTTTAACATTAGCTTGGTTTTGATTATTTTGAACAACTTTATCCGCCCATTTGCATTCTTCGGACACAGGGGACACGGGGCAAGATTTATAGTTTTTAAATATGCTTCTAGAATTGGGTTTTGGTAATTTAGGTTGAGGTTTGTCAGTTAAATTCAGATGGAAGTTACGAGGCGGCACTTTTGGTGGGATCTCCTTTTCTTCTTGTGGATTAACAGAGAACAATCTATTAAATACTTTAGATTGGATAGGTTTCTTTCCCATATCTATAGTAAAAGCTAATGGTTGTTTCTGAGGTAATTGTTCTTTGAAAACAGGTTTCTTGCTAAAGGGTACGTAGTTGACATTTCTCTTGTCTGTTTGATTTTGTGTAATACCAGAATGTGGGGGTACGTAGGGAGCTAAGTTTTCAAAGTACTCTGGCATCATCCTATGGTTGATGTTCGCGGGGATGGCGTAAGGATTCTTGTTACGGTAGTCCAAGTTCATATTCTGATAAGGATTGAGACTGTCGAAGAAGTTTAGACTATCTAAATTCTCCTCGGGATAAAAGGGTAGATTAGGCACTCCTGGTCAGCATAATGGGGAAAATTTGTTTATATGATTAGTACAATAAATACAAAAAAATCATATAATATTGCATAATGTTAGTGATTTCATACATCAAACTCGACACGCAATCAATAAAAATAATTATTAAATAGTGTTAATGTTAACATTTTCTGTATTTTTCATTAGGGCACAACAAAACGCACTATTCAAATTTAAGATTTTATATTTTTATTATTTGTTTAACTTTGAATAATCAAAATGCTATGCAGTATGCGTCTGTGCATTAAATTAATTATAAATCAGCAATATTTATTGCTTAAATTTATATAAAAGTGTATAAACTCTTATTCAATAAATTGCCTTATACCACACTTACCATAAGGTCGAGAGTTGTTGGGCACGGCCATCGAGACAGGTCTGTTCCGACGAGAATTATCCTTTTCTGGTATGTAGGACAAATCCGTAGTGGACTGACTCGATTTGAGATTTGACCGAAAGGCCACCTGAGAAACCAATGATTTTTTAACATTTCTTACAAAATAAAAATAATTTAGTTAATTCCTTCGGAAGACAAGTTGAGAAATTCATCAATTGTACACAACTGATTGGGGGTATCAAAGAGCGAGCGAGATAGAGGATATTTACGTGCATATTGTATTGACATATTGTTGTCTCTCTATTGCTATAGACAATGAAAGAGATGACAATATGTATCAATATGAGTGTTTGTTATTGGTCGAAACGGCCTTCAACATCGGCTCAATGGGGAAGAAATTCCTATTGGGCTGATTGACCGGTAGGTAAGTTAGATATAAAGATAGATAGGTATACGTTACGTTCTCAAGCTGTCGCCTGGTCTCGAGAATCCTGCGCTGCAGCTCCTCGCGGCGGCGCGCGGCCTCGGGGTCGGGGCGTGCGGCCGGCGTGCGGGACAGGTGCTGCGCCGACAGCGAGTTGTTGCCTGTACAACACATTATATATTTTTTAATATATGTATTACAAAATATATTCATTAATATATATCATGTTTTGCCATCAACAAAAATTAAATATTTCACTGACAAAAACATTACAAGTAAATTAAATACAAAGTTTTTAACAAAGTATTCGATTAAAAATAAAATTCCAGTAAAACATAAATTAAACATGCTATATACCAGTTTTAAATTACACTTGCACACTTATATAATTAAATTACATAAACACAATAATATAAATTATTCCAAAGGTAGTCCAACATTAGTAACAAAGCTATTCTCTCCATAGTTATAATTTGTATGTGAAGTTAGTTCACAACTTTAGGGAAGACATACAAATACACACAAAGCCATCACCAGTCATACAATAATCTTACAATCTTGTTTGCGAGCATCACCTCCAGTGAGCGTGGAGTCCAGCTCAACGCCACTGAGGCTGTCGAATGCGGACTTGAGGTACTTCTCGCGTCGGCCCGCGGTGTCTATGGACTCGCACGAACCCGACAGCGGGTTGCGGTCCGCGTTGTCGCCAGATGGCGTTGAAACCTAATTCACAGAGAAATTCTCATTAACAATTGGTACATCACAAATTTTTTTTTGAAAATAAATACTAAGGTATGAAATATAATGATTGAAAAATGTGAACACCCAATGTAGAGTCGAATTCAATGAAAATTAAAAATTATATAATATTAGGACACATCAGTGCCTTCCACTGTCATTTATTGTCTATGTATTATATCTATAATGAAAACTTTATTTTTACTGGTGATACAAATATGTCTATTTTTGATAAGTCTATGATTACAGCGTTATGAATGTAAAATTGTTCAGATAGGTTTGTCACACGTGTGCGTACGTATACGTATGCGTACGTATACTTGTGCGTACGTATACGCTTAGGTGTGTGAATGTGTGCGTGTACATGTGCATATGTACGTTTGTATGTACCTCGTCATCATCAGAATCGTGTCCGGAGCCGCTGAGCGAGGCGGCGGGCGGCAGGTCGAGGCGTGGCGACTGCGCGCGCCATCGCTTCGAGCGCCGCACTGACTGCCGCAGCTCCTCCGCGTCCATCGCGTTCACCATGAACTCACTACACATGTAACACAATATTAAATCAAAGTCAAATTAATGATAAAAAACCATCTCAAATAGTAAAAAACACAGTAAAGAGCCTACCGAATTTAAGGAAAGGACTTCGAATATTGATTGACCGTAATCTAAAATCCACAAACTATCAAATAGTTAGACAAGAAAGTAAGATTCGATTATCTAACCAGCACTTATCATATCGTTTAATCAGACAGGTGACATTACAATTGTATGTAACAGAAAACTAATTACGAAAATAAAAGTAGTAATTAGTATATGAGCAACTTACCCAGGTGTGTCATCATCGTTGTTGCCAGGATAATATGTGGGCCTGTTCCGGCTCTCGGATGACGAAGTTCTCTCTCCGTCCGATATGTCTTCTATATCACCGTCATGCTCTGTCGACTCTTGGTCCTGGAAATAAAAAAAAATATTTTATAGAACAAAAACCTAGAAAAACCTACTTTACTTGCTGTTTATCAATAAATAAACTTTGAGCAAATTTTGTATATCAAGAATTCTACTTTAGAATGTTACAAAACTTGAATCATAAGAATACACATACATCAAAATGGCCCCAATTTCATACATACATTTTCAAATCTAATTTACTTATTTATAAACCATGTATCCATTTACATGCACATAAACGATTGCAACCATCACCCACAATCCAAACAGAATTTTAAAAAATATAGCTATAGTCCAAAAAAAAGATAAGGTAGCAAATAATATAAAATGAAAATAAATGAAACATTTAAAAACAAAAAGAAATGAAACCAAAATTCGAACCTCGTATTTAAAACTTCCGAGCGACGAGTCGTCAGTGTGGTGTCGCGTGCGACCGTCAGCTCGCGACTTGGATAGATTTAACGTTACCTAGCGCACGCAGGACGGAAACGAAAACAAAAATAAATGAACATCTCAAAATAAATGAAAATGTATGGAACATACACATACAAACATAGCTAAATGTAACAAACAGAAGACTTTCTTACATCTAATACAAACAGCTTTGTAAGCAGAAAAGAAGGAAAATAGATTTGATAGAAAAGAGAAGAAATTAGGACCAAATATTTCAAATTAGTGTGCATTTGTAAAAGCAAAATATTTTACATCGCAGAAAAATAAGTAATAAACCCATCCATTTAACTAAATAATTTAAATAATAACCTAAAAAACCCTTTATTGAAAATAAGAAAGCATTTTTAAATTCTGACATCAGAATATATCAAAAGTTAGTATAAAATATTAGTAATTATTCTTATAAAAGGTAAAAAAAGCAACGTACAAAAGATATTGAGCATGCAATTTCGTTTTCCCAGACTTTTTTTACATATTATATTATTGATAAAATTCAACATGGATGACCAAAATCCTAACTGACCGTATTTTAAGTCTTTGGAGTTTTATCTGAACTTTTAACGTTCTTGTATTGGGCGAAGCCTGATACATGTGATGTTTTTTTTATAATTTCTATAACTAGCAATTTTTAAAACCCCAATAATGATTTGTCAATGAAAAATGCAAAACATACAAAGAACATAACAAAAAGCATATCAAAATCATATGCGAACTCAAAACAAAAATCATGAAAAAAAAAAAACAAAAACCTTCTCGACTCTTGGAGAAATTGTCAAAATGTCGCAAGTCGCTTTCATAGTTGCGTCAAAATGACGGAACAGAGCCTCGACTCGCGGCAGCTGAGACAGGTTGAGGGATTTCGGCCGCTATTCGTATGTTGATAAGGACCACAACCGTATGAAAACATTTCATTAATTACAGCAATGATTCACTTTTTCTTTTAATGCAAATAAAATTTTAAGAAAAAACAAATCATAAAGGCGAAAATAATTAAATTAAAAATAATATCCAAATACTACAAACAATAAATAGGATTCTAGTTACTCGACAATTATTATGCAAGCAAATAATTTATAGAATTTGTCTCTTCCTGAATATCTTTTCTTTGCATAACTTTCGACGAATATACGTGAGTGTTTAGCCGTTTTTATATCAGTTGAGTAATTGCATTACTTCAAAATCACAAGTAAGATATAGTTTTTTTTTAGTTTGAATATTTGGATATATTTAAATATAAAAAAATTTCAACCATCACCACAACCAAAACCATCGTGTGAGTGATTAGACATTACAAATTAGTAACAGGACAAAAAATATACACAAATAGACATTTAGGATATAATCGGCGTGCAAAAGGTTAACTATTTGGTGTTCTCCAATATCTAATTTACATAAAGACAAAATCAAATTAATATTTTTACGCAGATTATTTAACGACTAAATAAAATTTTGCGAATTTTTACATGTACACCACCTGACAAGAAACAAATTACACATATATACAAATAACAAACTACAGAGAAGTTCCAAAAAACATACCTGTTTAACATTTTGGTCTCTTCTCTTCTCGATATACCTTGTATCAGTTCCACTGTCTAATGAACTATCTTTTGAACCGTCTGAATCCACTCGTTTCTCTGAAAATTAAACAGTAAATTTCCACAATTATGAATAAAAATAATAGATAGGAACATTATTTATTTATGATACATAGGATAGGACTGACTCTACCACATCACCAGAGAAAACCATGTTACAGAAAGACACCTAGGGTTGCCACCTTTTCAGATTTTCAAGGTGCATATACTAGTTGACAGAACATCCACTATGATGTGTCATTGGTTTGTTATGATAGTTGGCAACCCTATAACGTCTTACAATTTAAAACTGATCAATATGTTAATAATAAATTACCGTTAGCGGGCTGTATCCTGGTGGCCCACTTGCCGCGTGCGGGGGGCGCGGGGGGAGTGGCGGCGGGCGTGGCGGGCGGAGCCCCGCCCCCTGGCGCTGCCAGCTCGTCTCCTAGACTTTTCTTAGCCCACGACGGAAGCTTGCCTATCCTTAAGCTACGAATTGAAAAAAATCAGACCTTAATTAAAATCATAAACAAATTATAAAATCATTTTACATTTTTTTTAATAATTTAAGCCGTAACAGAAGCTTGTTTTGGCACATCACACACAAAAATTTCCAGAGTGACAAACCAAAGTAGTATCACTTACGTGTAGTCAGCTACAACAGGTGTGCCGAACTTGGTAGTGTCAGGAATGTCGCGCGGCGGAGAGCCCAGTTGAGAGTCCGTTTCGCTGTCCAGGCCCGACGCACCGTTACTGCCCACTGGCACTTTCCTATATACAACGAACATTTTACAAACTCCATATATCTAACAACTATCTAATTTAAAAGAAAACTTTTAAATCCAAAATATATAACAGCCAAAAGCCTAATCATTAAGGTTTTTTAATTCAACCATCATCATGAATCATTTTCTTTTCTTTACTTAGTCACAATAGTCACAAGAAATGTAAATTTTCCAATATTCAACTCATATAAAAATCTATTCCTATTTTCACAGATATTTACCTGCCCTGCCGTATCGCCTGCTGGGCGAGTCGTGCGCGCATGGTGACCACCATGTCGTGCGGCACGCGCCACACGAATATACATCCGTCACCACTCGCCGACACCAGGTGCTGGCAATCCGGGGTAAACCTGCCAAATTATGAATATGTAAACAAACATACAGGGTCGGCGTTAGGGTAGGGTGAGATTGGGCCAGGGCATCACAAGTCTGCAAATGTCACTGTTTGTGAAACTAAATTTGATTGCTGAGAAAAACTATACCTTAATCCGGTAACAATTTCTGAATGTCCATACATAGTTGCCATACACTCGCCCGAGTAGTAATCGTAGACGCTGAGAATTTTATCCGTGCTGGAAGTGGCCAGGTATATGCCACTGCTATCCAATGCAACCTGAAACACATTACATTTTTATTTTCAAGTACTACATAAAATTTTGTAATCTACACATTTACGGAAAACGTACAAAATTGCATACAAAACTGGTAAAATACGTCCGATGACAAGAGACTATTATAACCACTGTTTGAATATCGTTTTTTTTTTAACTACCTTGATAAGAGTACCATCTTCAGCTGTGGTACCTCTAAATGTCTTCGTATGTCTGCCGTGTGCCGCGCTGTACACTCGCACGTTACGATCCTAAAACATTTAACAATATTTAATGACCCACATAAATTCCCACTTTATTATGGTTGCTTATTGAACCAAATATATGAAATACTCCGGAACGACGATCTTAAGATTATAAAATCGATGTGGATGCGAGAGGTGAGACAGAGATCACCACTTTGTCTCTGTCTATCCTCTGGTTTACGAGCGTGATTTATGTTGTTGTTTACCTGACAAGCGGTAAGTATATGTCGGCCGCCTGCATCGACCTCCATGTCGTATAACGTAGTCCGACCCGACACGTTTTGACCTCGCGCAAACTGGTAACTGCCGTCCTGAGTCTGTAATCATATTATACAAATTTAAGAACATAGAAGTTGCCCGCGACTTCGTCTGCACGTAAATAATAAAAATCTAGTAAGAAATATAGTCATTGTCAAACGGAGATAGTGTAAGTTCCCATCAGTAAAAAAAAATCAAATCGGTTAAGTTGCTTCGCAGGTATTATTTAACAACAAAACCATTTAATAACATTATAAGAAAATTTATTTTTATGGATTGTCTTACAGTTTTAAGTTGCCTGAAGAGTATGGTCTTATCAGCTCCACAGGACACCATCTGCAGGCCGGCGCTGGAGCTCAGGAACCTTACTGCTGTGATAGAGGACGAGTGCTCGTCCAACGTCTGCAGGATCTGATAGCCCTGGAAATGGTAATGCATTTCATTAGAAAAATATATCCAATATCAGATGCCGATGAACCGATGGTTTCTGAGACCAACATCCCCATTTAAAACATATTGTTATCACTGTTTTGTTAAAGATAATGAAATGTTTCATACAGATATCTTGATCTTAGAATCCAATGATAAATTAAATACTTTTATCAAACAGTTGTTCATTCACACTATTATTCCCTCGCACATTTAGGGATTCCTCAATGTTCAGAAATTCATTCATTGGCATTTAATTATGTTAATTCATGACAGGCGACTTTAGCAATCTCTTGTGTCGGAGACCAAGACCCACTTTGGGTCGATGCGCCAGCGGAGTAATTCATGAAATGTGTACACTAACCCGGTCGACCAGGAAGACATGGACCAGGCGGTCCCTGGAGGCGGAGGCGAGCAACCTTGGCTTGGCGGAGTACTCGAGGCAGAGGACTTCAGCGTCGTGCGCCTCCAGCGTGTGCAGCGGCGCGCCCTCTGATGAGTGGATCCACACGTTGCCCGCGCGGTCACCCGCCGCTACGTGCCGCCCGCACGGTGACACGCGCACACATCTACCACAACGAACTTTCATCAACAATAATAAAAAAAAACAAAACAAAACAAATGTAGTACAAAAATACAAATAAAAATATAAATAACAACAGAACAATCTAAAAATCTATCCGTGAAAGTCATTCCACGTTTAGTCAGTTTAATGTACGTGCCGGAGTTACAATTTTAGTTCCCTTATTAAACCTTTTCTTATAAGGAAAGTATAGGAAGGGAATGGAATTGGGAGAAGAGTGGACTCATAGGCAAATATTTCTGTGCGTCCCCTCCTCTGTCGATTAAAGATAGGCCACGCATTTGTAACAGTAAATAAGATTCTAAAAGTCGTTTACACTTATCACGAGTTGAATAAGTGATGTTTACTGCTTTATTTACCTGACACCAATTTTATCATCATAGCTCTTCGACTTGTCTCTATCGCTGGTGGCTGTCAGGTCGACATCCTTGAGAAACTTCAACTCCGGGTCTATGTACACTATTTTATTTAATTCCTGAAATAACAAAAAAAAAGGTTAATTTAGAAAATTATTTATAAATATGCAGTATTCAGAGAATCTTATTAATATTATAAATGCATAAGTTTAGATCTTTGTTAGAAAGTATCTGCGAAACGGCTCAACAGATCTTGATGAAGTTTGGCGAAGCTGTAGAACATAAGGACAAGTACATAAGCAGATTATTATTTTTTTTCCTTACGGACAGAATCGTGGGCGATAGCTAGTTTATGAATAAATATGTTAACATGTGTCGTAGTAGATACTTACATTGCTGTATATATTAGGTCCGGTGGGCTGCAAGCTCCACACGCGTACGGTGTCGTCACTGGAGCAGGTGAGGAAGCGGCCGGGGGGCAGGCCCGTCTCAGCCCCGCCTCCGCACACCATGTCCACGCCCCAGATGCACGCTGAGTGGTACAGCGCTGAGTGTGACTTGCCAACCTAATGATAAAACCACTAATATTAAAATCTAGATATATAAAACCTTCATAAGTTTGAATAAAGAAGTATATACGATTTGAAAGGACTCTTACATAGTGATGCAGACTTAAATTGTCACTCACTGCAACACAGTTGTCAAATTGTCATAAATGTAGTATTTCTGTATTATTTTATTTAGAATCTGTACACACCACCGCCCTCAGTTATTAACGGTGGGTTTCCGAGATTAAAATTCCCGTTTACAACATGTTATCTCTGTTTACTTATGACAAGATGACAATCTTTATATAAAACATGTTTTATACAGAGATTTTAGCCTCGGATCCCTACAATAAGTGGTTCCCGTTGTAGCCTACTGTTGCGACGTTAAGCGTGACGGGTAGTTTGATGTAGGTATGTGTGTGTATGTACCCGCTTGATGTCGCGCACGTCCCACACGTAGAGGCTGTGGTCATTGTAGACGCAGGTGAGCTTGTGGTTGCGCTCGTCGTACGTGAGCGCGATCGCGTCTGGATAGCGCGCGTTACCCGGCTGCGTGAACATGTGGCTGTGAACAGTCAAATTTATAATTCAAAAATATCACAACCAAACTTAATCAAATTGCTGTTCACATTCGCGCAATAAAAGACAAACTTTTGTATGAAATTAAAATTCCCAAGAAAATATATTTAATTCAAAGATATGTGTGAAGTGAACCATGCACTGGGCCAGCATGGTTGACTATGGTCTGGTCACCCTTAACTTGGGGTGAACTCCGAGCCCCTCAGTGAGGACATATAATGAGCTGATGATATTTGATTCTTATTTAAAAATATATTGTCTTTACCAAGCTTCATTGATCACATTAATATAAGTGATGTTTTCAAACATGTAAGACAACAATGTAAACGGAACTGTTGTACTAACTTGATGTTAACTCCCTGTGCGACGTCAACCCCGAGGTAGTGTGTGCGAGGCAGCGTGGTGACGTAGCGCAGTGAGTCAGGCGCGAAGCACCGCACGATGCCCTCCGCACACCCCACGAAGATGTAATTTGCGCCAATCGCCATACAATTGGCTGACGTTGTCTGAAAAACAATGTTACACATCATTTAAAAAAAATTAAAACATAAAACAAATTGTTATATTTTGTCAAAAGTCATTACTTTCCCCCTCTTCCCCCTCATTAGGGGGATGACGATATCCATAATTTATTCCAACAGATCTGAATGTATTTGGTACCGACATTGGACTTACTATAAACTGTTTTTAATTAATTCTGTCACTTCATACCCGACCCATAAGATCCATTGCATACTGGGTAATGGATACGTACCCTCAACTCAACCCATTTATCAAGCAATCGTCTGCTGTTGAACTCGCAGAGCAGACCGCCGCGTGTGATGGCGTAGGTACTGTCGGCCGCCTCCCCGCGCCCGCACACCACGTCACAGAACTCGTTGTCCTTCTGCTCGCCAAGGATCGCTGACCGACCCATGAGGGGCACTGGCTCCTTGAACTAATTTAAAAAAATACAATAAAAAACGTAAAAGGATTAAACAAAAAAAACACATTACTTTGTTCACCATAAATAGTGAATATTATTATTTTAGGATACAAAAAGTAGGTACAAAAGATTGTAAGTAAGCAGTTTATTAAAATTAATCAAATAACTGTTTTTAAACTAAACAGTAGTCTTGCTTTAAATAAAGGATTTTTAGATATTTAAATTTTCATAGACATGGTTACATAATTAAATCTATACATTTTATTTATAAAGTTACCACCAATATAACTCACCTTGGCATTTCGTGAATATTCCAGATACCAAAATTTGACATGTCTGAAGCCCACTGTCACGAAATAGTTGCCACTCTCTGAGAAACTAACCGCTTTCACTCGAGATGACACCTGGAATGTTAAGTAAATAATATCAATACACAAATATAATAAGATTTTTTTTAAATAACCTAGTTCATAAAACTAAAGTGTCATAAAACTTTAGTAATTAATTTGTACACCAAGCAAAGCTATAGTGTCTTGTTATACTATAAAGATATTTCGTAGCTTCATATCTACCTTATTACTAGCAAGTTTGAGGTTGGCACGCCAGTCCCAGACATTGACTATCATGTCATGTTGGGAACCAACCGAGACTAGATACTTGGACGATGTAGAAAATGCCTGAAATAAAAACAACACGTTAATATACTATACTCACTTTACTATAATTTACCTACTTTGAACATATTTACGAAACATAGAAAAAAATGTTTTTTTTGCTACTTTATTTGGTAAAAATCTCTGTTAATTCTTCAACTTCAATAATAAATTCCATGGTTTTTGTGTGACAAATTTGCATACGACATTTTTACTTCCTTTTTACAAAAAGTGTCCTTCATTGGACTAACTAAAGTTTATTCGAAAAACATATTATGCGAATTAATATAATACAATTTATCATCTTCCCTAAAATATCTATTTATAAAATTAATAATATACTCAAAAAACTACTAATGTGCCAATAAAATAGTTATACAAATTACTGCAAAAAAGCAATTTCTATTATCCTTTGTACTAAATTTAAAGTAAGTTATACGATTTCGTATAAACAATTTAAATAAAATTATACTTTGAACAGAGGCCAGTAATAAAGAATATAAAAACTACTTACGACACAATTAACGCCATGCGTGTGTCCGGGGAACTCCGCGATCTGCACTGCTCCTGACGCTGAAGGATCCTGGAAAAACAAATTTAATTATAAGTATTACAACTAATTTGGAAAAAAATCGAAGTGGTTTGCAGTAAAACAGTGATTTACACTACTCGCCACTAGATGGCGTTAAGTTAGTTGACAATAGTATCCAACGCCATCTGCCAGCGAAAGGCGATACTAGCAAAATAATCATTTTAATTTTACTGTTAAATTTATATTGATGTTCTATCAATTATCATACAAACAACGTACCTGCAGATCCCATACCCTGACGGCGGGCGCGTGTCCGCACTCCCCTGTGGCGAGGTAGCGGCCGTCCGGCGAAAAGGCGACGCATGTGACGCTCTTTCGCGACGCATTCAGCACGTGCGACTGTCGGTTCTTGCGCACGTTGTACAATACCACCGTACATCTAGAAAGAAAACACATATTTTTTTTTAAATTAAAGTTATTTCCATAAGTTCAATGAAAGGAAAAGTGAAGATATTTGTACTAAATCAAACTACATTCTTGTTTTTTTTTAGTCGAGATAATTGTCGTAAGACTTGGTATTATTTATCCCATCATTTGCTAAAGTTACTTTAGTAAAGAGTACTTTGGTAATCTTTAAGATTTATCTTAGAGATGACAAAGGCAACTCGAATATCGTAGTAACAGATCTGGCATTTAAAGCCGTGGAGAAATACTTTCTTTCGAACAACTTTTGTGGTAACCTTAAGAATCGTTTAACACATCAAAGAACTAAATCATAGAAAAGCACAGTCGCGCCATAGCGTGTCCGAGGTTAGCATATTAAGCGATACCGTCGTGAGGCACGCGCATGGCTGAATATTGACAATGGGCTTACCATGGGACATTTACGGGATTCGCAGGGACTGACTATAGTGACTGACTGACGCGTTTTACAATAACATAATTTGGACATGAGGTAACGTTAAGCTATATACAAAAACATACTGTCATTTCTCTCATTTTCTTTGAAAAAAATCAATAAAAATATGGTTTTATAACAATATTTCGGCAGCAGAATCTCACGGTAACATGCCATGTCTTTAACCGTTGTTTTATGAGATCAAAATCTCTATATAAAATATATCGTCATCCCTATCATTATCTTTGACAAAACAGAGATAACAATATGTTTTAAGGGGATTTTGGTCTTTGAAGACCACGGTTAGAAGTATTTACATAAAAGGGAAATAAAACATACTAAAGTAGAAAGAATTTTTATCTGCAAAATGTTCAAAAATAACTGTCGCGTCCTAGTAAGGGCAGGAAACAAGTGCGAGGTTTCCGCTTATCGCTCCGCCCGTCAATGTCACACCGTCTGATGGTAAATTTAAACCTTATTCGTATGTATGAGCAGTTAACGTAGACGCGGCCTTTCTCACGGCCGCGAATGCCTTGGCGGGCCGCTGTGTACATTTAATGTTCTTACGAGGACATTACACCGGAGCTGATTATTGAACAAATTATATGTATACAAACATATCGACAGAATTGAAATTTAAAAGCAGATGGCGTCGGCACTGAACTGTGACCGTCGACTGTCGGCTGGCGGCGCAACGAAACGAGACAAGTCATCGTGCAGCTTCAAAAATATAATGCAATTGATAAAGAACACATTTCTTATTTATTACTATATTTATAATACTTACTGAGAAGCAGATAGATATTATCAATAAGTGTTCTTTGTTAGTTTTAATGTAGGCTCATCATTTCTTATAATTTTTTGACCTCTTAGCCATCGCTATTGGAAAATCAATTCCCATTGAGAATGAGGCGGTCGAATCATCTGCAGAAACTCACAAGCAAATTTAATAAACCTAAATATTAAAAGTAATACAGTTAAATAATAAAAAAGCATATTGTCACGCTCGTGTCGTCTCGTAGTCGTCCCGTTAGGCGGTAAACAATGCTTCAAGTTGCGGAAACGGAAACTGAGTGGGCACAGTCCGACAGACATGAGGTCGACGTACCGCACTCCGCGTCGGCGACACTTTTCTCCGCCTTGTGGTTACGATCGTACTAGTTGTTCAAATTTTTTATGCCCTATAAAATAGATTTGCAGAAATTGCATATGACTTTATTTTTCAACCCGTTTAAAAGTTTGAAGAATTTTCATTTCCCTTAGTTTAAATTAGCTTTTATGTTACACATTTCCGCCGTCCATTCTCAATTATTCACCGCAGGAATAATGGAGCAGACCAGCAATAACTAAAACATTTTAGCTAAAATTGACCAAAATAAGAAACATTTTAACTTACAACATTTTAATGGCCTCATACGCCGACGCGGATCCAAAACGGGCACTAACAAGGATTTAAAGTACATTTCAAATAGCAATATCAGTCCATATTTCCTTTCACCTGCGTGCATTAGAAGGGACAATATACACAGACTCTGAGTTAAACCGAGTTTAAAATGTATCGATTTAGGGTGTGCCCACACCGCACCCCATCCGTGGGGCCGCACCTTTATGAAGCGTGATTATGATGAATATATTATTTTCACCCTACGAAAGGTGTGGGTTACTGCACTCTAGTACATCATTTTATATAGATTTACTGAAACGTTTCCTACATTACTTTACTTATCGTGGGTTTATGAGACCAAAATCCTGGTTTAAAACATATTGTTATCTCTATTTTGTCAAATTTAATGATGTAATGTTGACGATATATTTTACACAGAGATTTTGGTCTTAAAACACACTTGGATATTACATCGCCTTTATAAAAATAATTAACCTAAGTGTTTTAAACAGACGTCCTAATATGGCCTTAATATTAAATTCTTCAATATATTATTCCAGCTTTTATTAATAGAAATACCACTCACTTTTCTTATGCATCCAGTATAGTTTAAAAGCGAAAATTTTCTGCAATAAGTTACATTTTGATTCGAAATTTGTGTATAATTTCGAAGAATTGAGTTTACTCTTAAGGTTAGCTTCGTAAAGCCAAAGGATCATTACGTATAATTGACTCATTGAAGACGTAACTGATCAATTAGGCATAGTTATCTATCAAAGTCAAGCCGTTTGCATGAGCTTTAGGCGAGTCGGACAATGACGTATGCAACGCCGGACGTGTGAGAGAATGGCTGTATAACATTACATCATTATTATGCTGTTGGCATGGTCAACGACCACAATGGAATCCTACTTCGGTCTGTGGTTACGTCCTCATACTTTTATTGTCGATATCTGAATAAGTACTTCGACAATTATACCATTTATTAGAACGTACAAACTTATATTCACACGTTTATGAATCTTGTCTATCTTACTAATATTATAAATGCGATGTTTAGATGGATGGATGTTTGTTTGAAGGTACCTCCGGAACGACTGAACGGATCTCACTGAAATTTGGCATAGATGTAGAACATAATCTGGAAGAACATCTAGGCTACTTATTAACTTTTTTTACAATTCCACGCGGACGGATTCGCGGGCGACAGGTAGTAGGTGCATAAGCTAAAACGTTAGAAATTGAAATGTGTATATTGTTACACTATATGTAATATTGTTTTTATTTTCAGTGTTGATAACGAAAAACCATCATTTTATATTTTTGTCTGACTGTCAGCAAAGCCGGGTTCCGGGGAGCGCGTAAGTCGCGGACAACCTGTAGTATTATATTTTAAAACGAACTTTAAAATTTTAAATATAAGGTCATATTTCCAATTTCTCCTACTAATTCTAATAAAAAACAAGCTTAAATAAACCAAAGGAAAACACCACAGTGTGCGATAACGACAACTATATCGAAGCAATATCCTGAAACGCGTTCACTTCCACCAACTGCGGAAAACTGCGTTTTCTGGAAAGGAATTGAAAGAGTTGACGTAGAAAAACTCGTAGTTACTTCGATTTAATGGCTTACAAAAAAAAACAATATTTCTGGATGAAGTAAGTAACATATTTTAGCATTACTTCTTAAGTTAAGTAAATAAGACAAATTCCCCTGACCCCTAGTTCAACGTTTATCATTACTTTGACAAGGGAAGGTTAAAAATAGTTTTTAAAACTTCCATTTTACATTGACTTTAGCGTATTATGATAGAGGAATTATATTACAACCATAAAATCGATTATATATTCCAAACTTTTTATAATACTTAATTTTCACAACAATAATTTTCTATCCTCTTTTTATAAAATTTTAAATCATAATTACGTTCTCATAGGTGTCAATGTAGGTTACATTAGTGAACTAATTCATCATTAGCTCACTAAACATCCCCATCGTGGGGCTGGGAGCTACCCTTAGTTATGGGTAACTAGTCCATAGTCAACCAAGCTGGCAAAGTGCGGGTTGGTTGAATTCACACATATCTTAGAATTTCTTCTCAGATATGTGCAGGTTGCATCACGATATTTTCCTTCACCGTAAGAACGTCGGATAAATCGGAAATCGAAAAACACATTGGTACATGGCGGGAATCGAACCCAGGACCTGCAGATTGCAAGTCAAGTGCTTGACCCCTGAGCCACCGACGCTCTAGTGAACTAATTAGTGGCATCTAATTATCACAATGCATTTTTAATTAATATTTTTTTAAACGAGTCAAGTTTAGCATAGTTTTAAAAGAATTCATGTCACTGGATGTTAAGTATTTACTAAGTACTTACTAAAAAAAATTAAAGTAATGATAATATTCATCGACCCAATTCTGGCTATACGTCAATGCCTTTAATTCATTTACTACTCTATTCAATGAAGTTAAGGACATCAATGAAATGTATGTTAGTTTGGCAAACTAAAGTGATGTGCAATAACAAAACATAAAGATAACGTGAAACTGTTCGACAAACCAATTTGCCAAATGTACCAATGCCATATGTGTACGATAGTATTTGACCAGTCATAACCTTTCAACAGACTATAAAATTTCCGTTATATTTTATCATTCAACAAAACGAATAAAAAAGTGAATTAAAATTTTCAAGTGGGACTATCACTCTAGCCGTCAAATTTGCATTGCGAAACGCGAGGCTGGTACTTAACGTTCGCGATACAATGTTAACCTAGATCCGACCTCCTGACCTGTACGAACTTTAAAATGCAATTACGATAACGTTTCAAACAACATTATAAATAAGTCCACGTGATGAAGTCATTCAAGGACTTTACAACTTTACAAATATATCATTACTCATTCTTATATTAAAAGTAAATAGTCAGGAAAACAGACATATATTCGCTTATTTATGGTGCTAAAAATCGATAAGAAACTAAACATGAATAACACAGCGAGTTTACACTGCCGCAACACATACATCAAAACATATTGTTATGTCTATTTTCTCAAAGATAAAGAGAAATACAAAAACAAATTAAAAACAAGTATTTCAACAGTGGAAACCGACATTGAAAAACACAAGTAACTCACCCTGCGGGATATGCGACTACTTCAGTGTTGGGATCGCAATCGAGAGCCGCGTTGCTGCTCACCGTCAGCCCGAACACCGTCTCCAATTTGATCTGAAAACAAAGAAAATGATATTCAATTCAATGTGACGTATTTTACTGGAATCATAATCTAATGGTTACTAAATAATTCGCTCAAGGTAAAATTTGTTTGTCTTTAGTGACAACTTATCTACTAAAATTATAAAAAAAAACAATTAAACTCATCGAAACCCTCCAATAATGTAGTCAGTGGTAACCACCGAGTGAATTTTAGTGACTCAAGTCTTTAATAACCCAGATTTCCCCTCTAGAATCAAAGATAACCTCCTCCCCTAACAATAGACAGGCAAATCTTTTAATAAAGACAATTATTCAATTAATTTCATAATGAAGAAACTTCGCCTGAATAGCTCTGCACACAAGTATAACAAAGCTACGGGACTGCGCAGTCACAATATATTATTCATGGCCTCATACACCGAGGCAGGTTATTAAATTTTTTAATAAGAGAACACTTTGAGTTTTTAATTTTTTTATGAAAGAAAAACATGCCTTTGTTTTTTTAACATTCGAGTCATATGAATATAGCCATTATTATAATTAAAATTAAATAATGTATGATACAAGATATCACATTACAAGCAATTCTTGAACTTTCAATGAAATATACTTATTATTTATAATAAAATACTTAAACTCAATATTAGTGTAATATAATTTTCAGAGCCGAGAAAGACAAGATTGTTTTTCATTTCATTTAAAGATTCGCAAAAATTATAAAACAGGATCATTTTCGAATATTTACGACAGCTTAAAGAGCCTCGGCACAAAATTTTCAATGAAAATTATACTTATATATATTTTAGCCAATTCTTTAACAAAAAATGTGAACGGCCTTGCAAACGGGATCAAGGACAAATCAGAGTAAAACACACAATAATCAGAACAAAAAGAGATAAACCATAAATACAGGTTTTGCGTGCGTCGTCCGTCCTCCGTGGCGCTAACAACTTCAAGGTCGACAGCTCAACAAGATGGCGGACCGGGCGTCCTTGTCATCGCAAGGATGCGCAACATGCCGTAAGATAAACGTCATTGCGATAAGTTTAATTATTGAAGTACTGTCTAAGATTTTACTTCGACATAAACTAAGTTATAAAGCTGTATTATTTTCAAACTTAATTATTTATTTTCAAACTTAAACGCACCTATAACGTAGACATTCATATACTTATGCCCAAAAGCATTTAAAAAAAATTAAAAGTTTCGCGGCATAAAACTTGCAACATACGTTGAACTTTGCGGGCAAACAACTCTCACTTGCGACTTGCGAGGTTTTTACACGAGAGGCTTTCGACGTTGCCGCGGGCACGCAGCGCCGGGATCGAGTTACCGTGTCTGGCGATATCGAGCCATCTCCGACGTCAGTGAAAGCAAACATTGATCCCGTTACTGGTATTACTATTATTCATATCATACAAACACATACCAGACCGCCTCGTGCACACACACATCGCAATATCAGTACTGTGAATACGCTTTGAAAGACACTTCGATACTTTAAAAAGGACTCTTTACTTAAAATCTGACAGCATCTACCGGGGAAATATGACAAAACAAAAGAAGAGCGTAACCTCTGTTTTTCTGCTTTGTCTTTTGAATGAGTTTAAAAGCCTACCTATCTTCATCGTCTTAAGTTCTTTATCTGGTCGCGTCTTTCTTAAAATAATGTTTCATTGGTGATACATAACAACATGACATAACATAAAGGTACAGCATTGCTAGTTTAAATCAGACATCGTCTTCGTTGCAAACAGTTGAAAGTAATTGAAATTTTTGTATGATTTCATAAGATATATCCCACGCCCGATATGAATTTCATTCAGAAAACCGTTGCCACCTTCATTTGTTATTCCGAGACGTTGAAACTGGTTATTTAAATTGTAATGTTGCCAGCAACAGACAATAGCAACAACTATGGATGTGTCGAAATGATTTCGGCTGAGTTTCTTAATCGTCTCATACGAGTTTTGATAAAGATTTCGGGTCAAGTTGGTCGCCCACGTGTTAGCTAACAGCTGAGTGGCGTATTACGCGAAGCTTGCTCATTTAAGATAGACAAGGATGTTCAAAAATTGCGTAATTACGTCAACCAATGTCAACTTCTATGTTTTACTTTAAATATGAACCCTCAGGTCTGCATAAAAATATTTATTCGTATATTATTTTTGTTCAACAGTTTACTTACAACAGTAGAAATTATTAACCTTCCTCTTCACCTTTTATACGACTAAACTTACATTGTTATTTGCGATCAAAAATCTTACCCAAAATATAAGAAAAGCCGCAGTTAACTCAAGAATTCCAAGACATTTCATTGAGCTTTCTCGTTGTATCGACCGAGGGTATTCGATTGTAAATACTTCAAATTCCCCGGGAGGGCATTGTGACTCGGATCGGAATGCCGGCCTGTAGGCGGCGAGGGACCTGCCACTGCCACTGAGGCTGCGGTGGCGTTGACCACACAAATCTAGCTACTGAATCGCTATGTTGCTATACATTTATGTGTAAGATTCTCTAAATTATTCGTAAATGGATTATTAAGAGAAGATTGACAAAATTATTAAGAAACTTGTGTGTCGTAGTTGGTAATTGAGAAATGAAAAAGGAGAATCGGGTTACAAAAGGAATGAATTCAGACAGAGATTGGAGTAGTGGATACATAGTGTGCTGAATCCTAGTAGGGAAAAGGGCAACAAGATAATTTATTTAAGACCCACATTAACAACCGTTAAAACAGCTGAAAGGTTAAGTTTTTAAGACAATTGTATAAACTACGAATGTTTATTTTCAATACATCACAGTGAGGATTGATCTTTTTTTAAATGCACTCGTATACACACCGAGAACGTATTTATGACGTGTTTTGTTTTGTTATTCTAGAAACGGAATGTAACTAATTATTATGCTAACGCGACAAAGATCGTCGTTAAATAACAAGACGTAGGTCCGCCAACACGAATACCTTTGCTTTATACATGTTGTTATTTCTAGATATGTCTAAATGTTTTAATGTAGTATAAAAATACAAATTACGATATTATAAAGTAACACAATCCTATAACCACAGTCAAAATATAAGAACTAAGCTAAGAAAGCTTTCAATGTCGTAATATTATGTTTCGTAAATTTCAAAAAAATAAATTGAAATTACCATATAATTTTAACCGTTTTAAATAATAATTATATTACATAACACAAGTAAAAGATACATAAAATGTATCAAACAACCTTAATCTGAAACTGTGTCAGTTACATCTTCACATAACAAAGATGTACTTTCAACAGCGGAGGATCGTTTTGTTCGTTAATTGTTAAAGTTTTGTTACGCGTTACGTTATATGCTAATTAATATTTAAATCCAGGGGTTGCCTCAGCGTGAGTTAGTAGCACAAGTCTATTAATTTTCTAACCTGTAACTAAAAACTATTTAAAATTATGCACATGTTAAATTCTAGATTATTTACATTTAAAATGATACAATTATAAAAATTTTTATATTTTTTATGATGAGAAAATAACTATTATATTAAAAAGTTAATTAATTCTGAAAAGGCTAGCTTCAAAAGTCTTTTCACGTGAAGAAATTCTAGTCAGTCTAAGCTGATGATATAACTTAATATAAGACAAATAATTATATATTTTAGATAAAGAACTTTAGCAAAAGATAGTTGAGAAGTATTTTAGAATTTAATTTCCGATGATATTTGATCCTTAGTCCAGACAGTAACACCGTATATCAATGGTTTCATTCCGGTTGTTACGTTAATTTGACAATTGACACTGCAAGCTAGATGTCACCGCAATGTCACTGAGTCGTGAAATCATTTTAACGTGGGTTTCCACTGGCGAAATAATCACACAACATAATATCGTCATCGCTCACATCCTCTTTGAATAAACAGAGATGGCAATATGTTTTCACACAAGTGTTTTGGCTTTGGAATATGTTATACGATATCTCGACTAGACTCAAATAGTCGATAAAATCTGATAAAAATCAGGAAACTTCCGTACTAATTAAAGTTGCGGTAAGTTAATCTTACATATCTTAAGTCAAATAATCGGTTAACACGTGTATAGAGTTCGCTTTGAAGTTTAGTTTTTATACTTATCGTCATTGTAAACAGCTTTAAGCAGGAACTCTAATTAAGTTTAATAGACTGAGATAACTTTTTTTACCCCAAAGGCTGTATAACCAGAGGCATTTTACTTAGATCATCATAATTAAAATTACTATAAGGCGAAAAAAAACTTAGTAGGTACCAAAATAATTTGCAGCAAAACAACTGACAGCACACAATATTACCAAACTTCAGATATATGGTTAAAATAAAAAAAAAATACAACCAAGAGATCCAAGGACACGTGGTTTTCCAAGACCCAAATACTTGTTCAAAACATATTCTTACCTCTGTCTTGTTAAAGACCAAAGACATGGACGATATCTTCTATACATTGATTTTGGTGTGAGAAACCGAAGATTACTTGTACTTCTACTGGCTATGACTGGCAAATACAAGTAATGGATTTTTTACACAAGTATCATTATAGTAATTTAACAATTATTACGCAAGCAACATCTATCAAGACGGTTCCGTTCGAACCCTACAATTATGACCTAATGATTTCTTGTACTGTTAATTTATTTATTAAGAGTAATTTTTCTATAATTTATTTATGATTAAATTGCATAATTTTTTCTGTCAATTAGTTTTAAAATAACAATCATTTCCTTTTGCCAAATTTATATAAATAAAAAAGTATTTTGTAAATAGCTGACAGGGGTTAACTATTGTGGATAAATAAACTCGTAAGTTAAAAAAGAAATCTAACAGCAGTTCAATTTAGAAAAGGGTCTACGATAAAAAAATGACAATCTTTATACAAATGCTTAACGAATTGCATGTGGACGTTTCTAATATATTATATATTCTATAAACTGGAATGTAGAAGTCGACTAACCTCGATATTAATGGGAATCGGCCTCTGCACTTTCTACTGCAAGTTGC